CAGCCGCTTATTTATATCCCGTCTTTGCATCGCGCGGGACCGAGCGAGGGTGCTTTTGCGTTTACTCGGTTACTACCGAGTTGCTGTTGCTGTTGATGTTGCTGTTGCTGCTGCTGCTGCTGCCGCCGATCCTCTCGTCCGATCCCTTTCTTTCTCTTACTCCCTCTCCTTTCCGCCGTTCCGCGGTGCCCACGTAACTCATGTTACGTCACGTCTCGTTAATCATATCCTACGAAACAGCTTCAACAGCTTCATTAATTACCAGTTGTTTATCTCTTGCGCCGCGAGGCCTTGTCCACGTCAATTTACTATCGATACGTAGCTTCAGGGTTTTACTGATAACTTGTTTTCTCTTCCGTTGAATCTGTCTACCATACTTCTGGCGTATTAACAACAATGAAACACGTTTCTTCAAGTTTCTTTTGGAAGGATTAAAAAAACCGGCAAGGTTCTACTTCCTTTCCCTTCCGTTTCTCATTCTCCCTTTATCGATGTTTTTTTAAGATCCTCTTCTTTTCTTTCGAGGTGCAATTTTTTCATCAAAATGACAGAGTTCTTTCGACGTGATTCGAAAGACGCGACTTCCGATCGTCACTCTAAACGTTCCTCCCCCCCTCCCCCCCTCCTCCGCCCGGATCGGACGATATCGAAGGGGTACGCACACTGTTCGCGACAAAAGCGATCGGGGGTCCGGAGGAAAGCCGAGCAAATAAACGCTGAAAAGAAGAACAAAACCGACATTATGTGGCATTAACATACAAAGTATGTCAGATCCGCGCAATCCGCAGGCATAACATAGTATCGCGGGTTTCACGTACTCCGTTCCTCGGACGCAGCGGTTGTGAGAATGAGAAGAAGAGAGAGAAAAAGGGAAGCGAGTATATGCGTATCCGAAAAAGAAGAAAAAGGGATGGAAGGAAGGAAGGAAGGAAGGAAGGAAGGAAGGAAGGAAGAAGCTGCCGTTGAGTGTGCGGAACGGAACGAAGAGACGAAGAGAATGGAAAGCGACAAAGATGAAAGAGGGAGCGGAAAAGGCAGCGGATCTCGTTAGATGCTCCCTTCGACACCTTCCGCGACCTCAAGTTTAATCACGCGTTTTATGCGCGCAACCTCGTTGATTATTTCACGATAATGACCTATTCCTCCTTATTCCTTTCTTGTAAAAAGTAGGAAGAATTATTTATTAAATGTTATACACACACAAATATTTATTTCGACGTTAACGTCAATTTTATCGCTAAACGATCTCTTAGAGATTCTAAAGGCTCGCTTCTTTTCGCATTTGCTGAATCTGCCATTGGTCAGAGAGAAAGAGAAGAAGTAAAAGAGTGAAGAAGCGTTTACGCTATCCTTGCGGTCCTCCGTAGGTCCTGTCCCTTCGCTTCGTTGTCGGCCTCACGGTGTGTGTGTGTGTGTGTGTGTGTGCGGTGGCGGCGTAACGCAAAAGGCTCCTGGGGATGGGGAACGAGACGAGAAGAGCGAAACAGCAGAACGCGAGTAGGTAAGGGAAAGATCCGAGAAGGGAACAGCACACAAGGCGATGGTGGCAAAGGGAAAAACGAAGACGCATGTATCAGGGCCGACCGACGACGGCAACGACAGCGATACAGCGTTGGAGACACAAATACATATATACACACACATATATATATATATATATATATATATATATACATAAAAGGAAGGATCTCCAGTGTCACCACTATTCGCCAGACTCCCGATCGGCTACCGCTAGCAAGGGTGCTGCGAGCCGCTCGAGAACGATAAAACTATCGCACAATCCGCACGCGGAAAGAAATAAATATCAAATGAGGCAAAGGTATGACATATACTAAAAAAAATTTTCTTGATTCGAAGAAATTTTAAATAAAATGTTGGATTTTTTAAAAATATATTCAATAGTCATTTTTCATTCTTCGTAAAATTGCTACGATTTATTTCCTAAATGGTTCACAATGAAAAGTCATGAAGCAACAAAGAATACTTGATAGAATACTCGTTAAGAAAAAAATGCACAAATCTACATATGTCGTGTGAAAAATTTATATAAAATTAATACAAAATTTGCAAGATCTAATCAATAAGAGATAAGAATAAGGCGCAACACAGTTCTACGAAGCTCGTGTATAATGATTATAATGATGATGATAATGATGATGATGATGATGATAATGATGATAATGATATTAATAATATATACAATGTTCATAAAATGCTAACGATCACAAAAGTTAACAGCGTAGTTTTTTGTTCGAAATATCACATCGTGTGTGTTAATACAAAATATGAAACTACTATATAAAATGTTAAATCCTTGAACCCAGCAAGAAATAGAAATAAATGTAGTAGATTAGTAACGTTAAGGTTTACATTTACATGATTTATTAATGCACAACAAGTATCCTTTCGATGCTAAAATTCCACGGCATTTGAAGTGAATTTGATATCTTATAAGCCAATGTAAATAGGCAGTGGTACCAAATATATTTTCCAACACTTCTTGAGGAAGAATTTCTATAAAAAAAAAAAATATCAAAAAATATAATATTTTACTCAATAGCTAATTGTTTTAAACGAGAAATACTTACGACAAGGGTCACTGTGCGTTAGCAACTGAATATCGTTTTCCTTGGTAAATTCCTGCAAGGCTGGTGGTACCACACAACATGTAGCTAAGTTGATTTGTACGATATTTGGCTTCACCTGTAATATTATGATGTAGATAAGAATAAATTGACAAACATTATATATCTTTTTTGTATATCTTTTTCTTACATTGGCCCACTGAAATAATTCAATGAACGTATTTGTGTTAATATCGCTCAATCCAACACTGGATAATTTATCAATCTTTACATATTCTTCTATCACAGACCATATCTTTTTCAAAGATGACAACATATCTTCCGGATTCTCAGTGCTTTTATAAGCTATCACTAAAGTTTCTATGGTATCTGTATGCAGTGCTTCAAATGCTACAGGATACAAAATATATTATGATAAAAATATATAAAAATATATAAAAATAAATTCCAATGGTTGATCCAATACCTTGATCCAATGCCTCCTTTAATGAACCAACATCAGGTGATGAGATAAATACCTTCACAGTGATCTTCAAGTCTTTTCTATCCACATCCTGTAAACTCGTGTCCTTTTTTCCATTGATCTAATTGAGCAAAACAATCAGCTGTTCAAAGAAATAATTCTCAGTTGTTATTAAATTGCTGAAAACCATATACATACAACTGTCGTATCATCTCTCTTGCTTTGGTCATCGTTCAGGATGATCTTCAGCGTTTCGATCAACTAAAATGGATCAACGAATGGAAATGAATCAGACAAGTTTCGATATGTGTATCATAACCTCGTCCACAAAAACAATAAATCGATTACTGTTGCGCGATAATAGTATCGTCGCATACGAAGCGCTATAAAAAAAAACGCAATATGTTACGCAATATTTGTCAACTGACCTCATCTGTTGAATTCTGACTTGCTTTTTGCTTCGCCTCGCTCAGGGACAGTATGTTCCCGGTATTGATGAGTAAACCGTGAGAGAGCATATCGAACAACCGATACGGGATTCTCACAGCAAGTTCGTCCTGTCGAAGAGTACCGCGTGCATTTATATCAGTGTCAAAGTGATGTCATCGATCGTGACTCTTCAATTCGTCCGCGAAAAAAAACTATAACGGTTTTCCACGAGTTCGCGAAGATTCGAATATCTCGTCGTCACGCGAGTCGCGTGACTCCCTCTCGATTTCCAGCCTCTCGGATTACATCTGTTTTCCAATCTTCCGGATTTCCCTCGAACAATTTCCGTCTAGGAAAATGTCTATTTACAATAAAGAACAAACGAGAGATGCAAATTTTCTACAAATGTTGTCATGGATGTCGGCATTTGATTCCGCGAATGATTTATTTTGTCAAATTATCATTCCTTTGCGGATATATTTTTTAAAAATTGCTACTGCATTTCTTCATAAAAAAATTACGATTCACAAAATGGAAACGCGATTTATATTTAAAACTCAAAAATAATTTTCTATATGCTAATAGTAAAATAAACGTTAGATGATATGCAAATGTTTCTGACTTTATTATTATTTAAAATGTAGTTTAACAATATGCAAATCACAAATTCGAATTTAAAGTATGCAAATCTAGTAAAATAATATAACATTCTGTATCAAATTTTGATTAGGAGATGAATAACAGCCAAAAATAAAAATCATATCAAATAGAGATTAAAATAATCAAATTTCATAATATTTTTATTAAATTGTATGCGACGAATAATTTCCTCAATCTTTAAAATAATTTGCATTATCGTGTAAGTAATATTCATACTTAAACATTGTGCAATTCGTTTCAAACAAATCTTTAATTTAATTGTTATTATATGCATATGTAATTTACGCATTCAGAGTTTGACTTACTTAACATGAATATCAAAATTGATCAATGGCGATTGGCCAATGAATGACGGATGGTAGCACTGACGTCATTGCGAAAAATCATATCTTATCAGCGAATGACTTGCTGTATGTATGTACATAATAAATTATGTCGATCCGTATAGCATAATATATATTCATAAGGATATTATTTATTGCAATTCGAATCTCGTTAAATTAAATTACCGAGAGCCAAGGTACAAGAATAGGGAAAAACTTCTTTCAGGAGTTTGCCATTCCGTGTAATTTTTGCATAATTCCAGCAGCGTGATACGGAAGATTATCACACTTATCAGAGATGATATAAACACTCGACTGACGAAGACGAGTTGAAGCGATATTTGTAAAAATGCCGCTTGACATCCCTGCGTTCGCGTACGCCGCTGTGGTGGCTGGTGGCGGAGTGTTAGGTTACGTGAAATCGAGTGAGTTTAATAATTAAGTTTGATTCTCGTCGACTAGATTCGATATTTTTCTACACGTTCCTTGAGTACTACAAAATACTACAAGTTTCATTTTGAGTAAAAAGTTTTTATCGCATTTTCAAGATTCTATCCCTTCACTGGCCGCGGGTCTTCTCTTCGGATCAATTCTGGGCTATGGCGCTTATCAGACTTCCCAGGATCCGACTAACGTCGCAGTCTTTTTAGGAACCAGCACGGCTCTCGGCGGTCTGATGGGATATCGATTTTACAACAGCGGCAAAATAATGCCAGCTGGAATAATTGCTGTAATAAGGTATCTCACGTGTGCCATTCGTCTGTTGAAATCCATGCGTTGCAAAGTCCACGTGAAAGTACTAATGTTAAAACAATTTTCAGTGCTGCTATGATCATAAGGACAGTTACGAGATATTTCTCACCGGCGATGAAGACACAGTGACTGTTAGTTGTCGAGTATTAGAGATATCGCATTTATTAATTTAATTTTTCTTTGGTGCAAAGGGAACAGCGTCAGGAAGGATTTACAAGAATTTATATTTGAAAAAATACATAATTTCTAAATCTTCTTTTCTAACAGATTTCAATTTCATTATACTAATCAAATAATAGTTGAATGCATGAATGTTTATTCAATTATTTTTTCAATAAAGCATTTATGTAAGAACATAAATATGTAGAAATATATATGTGCGTTATATAGTATATATTTACATATATACATATATATATTATATATATATATATATATATATATATATATATATATATATGTGTGTGTCTATTATATGTTTGTATTAATTTCTCTTATAAAATTTTTGTTTGATATAAGAACATTTGGCATAATAATAATAATATTACAAAAAATAAAAATTATGTTCATATTGTTTCTTTTATAAAAAATTAAGTTTAAAGAAATGAAAAAATCACATATATAATCATATATTTCTGATTAAAAGTGTATATATGATTGTACATTTATATGGACAATTTCTTTTCATTTCTTCAAATTCAATTCATATTATGTAAAAAATTTTTTACTGTTTGATACTGTTATCAAACGATTGAAGAAATTCTTTCGCTACAATACTTAGATGGCAAACCCTATATAAATCGATGGTAAACTCGATCAATCTCACGTTACGCATCGCTGAACATTGTTGCACTCTGTGCAGGTAAAGCGGAAATGCATATTAAAAAAAGAGAATTAGAAAAAGATAGAAAGATTAAATTAAACCGAGATTAAAATAAAAATCTACATTGAAATGGATATTAGAATTAAAAGAAGATAAAACATATAAATCAAATAAATCTATGTTGGGGTAGAAATGACATTGGTGCAGAAAGTGCAGCTGCGTCGTAAAATGACACGACGGTTCTGTCGCACAGGGGCCTAACGTATTACGGACGAAAATATTATTGTTCTATGCGTCCGTCGTCGCATTTGTTCTGTCGTTGGGTGCGTGAGTGGATGTAAGAGCTATCGAACGGTGCGAGACTCGATCGGAACCACTGCCCTAATTAACGCGATCTCGCCGGTAATTTCCGGAAGCGCCGCTCCTTTTCGAGACGCGCAGGGGTATATACTTACGTGGTGTGGTAGACAGATTAAATTATCGTTATTAAATAATTGAATAACTCATATCCCGGCCTCGTCGTTTGAACGTCGTTTTTGATATCGTACCGATTATCCGAGGACTCGGTGAATCGATTTCCTTTCGCATTACTGGTAAGACAATGTTTTCTTTCTCACGGAATTTATTCTTGTAATATCGTCGTGTGACGCAAGCTATTTTAACCAAAGAATATCCGTTTCTATCAATATAGATGACTTAAATTTGAAGTTTAACTTTCTATCTTTTACTTCTAAGAATTAGGAAAGAATAAAGGGTAAATTTTAAATTGAGATTAAAGTTAATCCACATTGATAGAGATGGACAAGGCTCGTGTAAATTTACGCGTCATGCCGCGGTCATGTTCTCGAAGGAGTGTATGCGCGTGTACGATACAATTTTGAGGTTAAGTTTCTCTGTCTGGCGTTTTATAAATGCGTTGATTTTAAAAATGTAACTAATCCTTCAAATAAACGAAGCGTTTTCTCTTTTTAATTTTTTGTGAAATTGATAACTCTTCCGAGTTTTCTTTATAGTGTAGGGCTTAGTTCGTCACGTATTTTACAAGTTGTATGGGCACATTTGAGTGAATCAAATGGATTATACAAAAGCGAAATCCTTATTTCTCTTTATTTTAGGAATATGAGATGGCAAGAATTGTAGCGTGCGCCTTGTTGGTTTGCCTGAGTGCGTTTTGTAGTATATTAAATGCAGATGAGAATAGTGACAACAATGCCAGTGATGCAATACAGAAACCGATTTACAAGAGTCCAGAACCTTCCGGCTTTGCTCACTTAGCAGAACATTTTGATAATGAGGAAAGATTTAGGAAATCATGGATATTATCAGAAGCAAAAAAAGATGATATCGACGAAGATATCGCTAAATACGATGGTTAATATATAGTTTTTATATATGCTTTTTTATTATCTGTTTTCTATAGCTATATTTCAAAATTTATTGTTTTGGAAATGTTATATATATTTTTATTTTGCATTTTGAAATACAGTCTGCATTTAATTCAATAAAATAGATTTCTTTCTTATCTTTCTTATCTTTGTGTTCTTTATAGGGATTTGGTCCATCGAGGAACCCAAAATGCATGCCGAGGATGGAGATCTAGGACTAGTGCTTAAAAGTAAAGCTAGACATGCTGCCGTTTCTACTTTATTATCTAAGCCATTTTATTTTGAAGACAAGCCCTTAATTGTGCAGTATGAAGTTAATTTTCAAGATGGACAGGAATGTGGTGGTGCCTATCTTAAGTTACTAACGTTAGATGATAAGCATAAAGATTTGAAACAGTTCCATGATAAGACACCGTACACCATAATGTTTGGGCCTGATAAATGTGGCAATGATCATAAGGTATATGCATTTTATCAAATTTTATACTATATCTCACAAAAAAACAAATATCAATATTGAATATTTATATTAATATCAAATTTGTACATATAAAACTCATATTTATTTTCTATTTTCAGCTTCATTTTATATTTCGACATAAAAATCCATTAAACGGTACAATCACCGAGAAACACTGTAAAAAAGCCAAGGATCGATTAGAAGATTATTTCAAAGATAAGAACCCGCATTTATATACCTTAATTGTGCGGCCTGATAATACTTACGAAATCAAAGTAGATAATAAACTTCTAAATTCGGGCTCATTGATGGACGATTTTGTTCCTCCTGTAAATCCACCTCTAGAAATAGAGGATCCAGATGATAAACAGCCTGAAGATTGGGACGATAGAGAAAAGATTCCTGATCCATTGGCAGAAAAACCCGAAGATTGGGATGAAGATGCTCCAGCACAGATCGTCGACGAGGAAGATATTATGCCAGAAGGATGGCTCGAGGATGAACCGCCCATGATACCGAATCCAGATTCGGTTAAGCCCGATGATTGGGACATTGAGATGGATGGTGAATGGGAAGCTCCGGAAATACCAAATCCAAAATGTGCGGATGTTCCAGGTTGCGGACCGTACAAGCAGAAAATGAAAAAGAATCCACGATACAAGGGAAAATGGTTGGCGCCGCTCATCAACAATCCGAATTACAAGGGAAAATGGAAGCCTAAACTCGTACACAATCCTGATTATTTCAATGATGAACATCCATTCAAGATGTTGCCAATTGTATGTAAAAAAAAGATTAAAAGAATGTTTTTAGTTATAAAATTAATTAAATACAATGCTTGATGATTAAAATTTTTTAGAGCGCCATTGGTTTTGAATTATGGTCGATGTCTCCCGACATATATTTTGATAATATAATTATAACGGATGATGAGAAAGTTGCAAAGAAATGGGCAGATGATACTTTTGAGATTCGACGTGTTAAAATTGCTGAGGAAAGTGTAAGTATCCTTTCACTCGCGCAATCTAATAACATTTTCTAATAAAGTTTTACAGTAGAGATATATAAAACATGTTTTGTGAAAGTAGTATTGTATAAATATAATATAAATATAAATCAAATCAATTTACTAAATTTGAAGATTGACGACGCGTTTAAAGATAGATTAAAAAAAATTATTTAGATAATTTTTTTTACATCACTATGCAAATTATAACATACAGGATTCTTTATGGGGTCGAATGATGAAAGCGATGAATTATAAACCAGGATGGTGGGCATTGTATTTCTTATATTGCGCGATACCAGTTGTAGCTTACATCTGGTATCTATGCAAACGTGCTCGTGAGGTACAACATTCGTGTAGATATAAAAAATAAAAATTGAAATGTTGAAAATATTTGCTTGGCAATATGTTAAAATATACTATAGCATATCCACAAATGTGCTAATAATGTATATAACGTAAATATATAGTAATATGTATATAGCATCCTCACTTGCCACTTACCATAATTGACTTATTCATTATTGCTGTAGGATCAATAATGGCTTCATTCGAATGCTAAAATTTGTATACCTTGTATTATATATATTATAAGTTATTTAATTATATTAAAATGATTTTTTAAAATTGTAATATTTAAATTGCTAAAGAATTGAGGATTACTTTGCATATATATAACATGTAGCATTTTTATGATTATTTGATACAGTGGAGTATATGGAGTCGGATTGTCAAATTTACTGCAGATCATCCATGGATATGGGCAGTATATATATTGCTAACTGCAATACCAGTAGTATTTATAATGTATTATTGCTGCTTCTCCGAGGTATATTTTATCAAAGTAAAATAACTTAGCATAGAAAGTAGTTTATTTTTAAATATTTGGAAATCTAAAGCTAATATTTGATAATATTGTTTTGTAATCAAAGTACATTACAAATTGTTATTCAGCATGTAAAATGCTATTTGCTTTTATTGTATTACAAGATATATAAAAATAAAATATAATTTATATTACTTTTAACATCTCAGGACAAAACAGATTTTGAAAAAGAAGATGAAAAGTCACTCTTAGAAATGGTAGATGATCCCGATGAAATCATAGAAAATGAAAATCAACAATCTTTAAATCCTGAGCTTGCTGAACAAAAACCTATTATAGAAGAAATAGAAGATATAGAGAAAGAGACTGGAACAGAAGAAGTAATAGAAAGTGATAAGGTTGGTCTTACAATTTTTTGATATTTCTAATAACGAGAATTGCAATTTATAATTAATTTTTTTATATATCCAATATTTTTTTTAATTACAATTATGTAAATTTACACATCCGATTATTGCAGGATACACCATTAATTAGTGGCGAAGGACCACGACGAAGAAAACCAAATAAAGAATAGGAAGAAGAATAATTATAAAAAAAAATTTAATAAAAATATTATCGCGCTAAGATATTTATGTAATACTATCTTGTGTAACACATTCCACATTACACTTGCTACTGTGGATAGTAGGGTTACCAGTCACTAGCAAATTCAGTCACTGCAACATGATCGATAGTATTTAATTTTTCGTCTAAGAATATTGACATTTGATATCATATATAAAGTCTCATTAGTATATTTGAGAAAACTGTTTTCGGATTATACATATGTTTTTGTGTAATGAGTGATGTATGATGTATCTGTACTCAAAAATTTGCAATGTTTGGAATGTTTTTCGTTCAAGGACAATGCCTTAATAATATAGTATTTATGTGTTTTTAGCTGTGACATGAAATGTCATAGCATTAAAAATAGTATCTTATTCTGTTTGTATATTTAATGTTACACTGGGACAAATTATTAAGAAATAGCAAATAAGCTAATAAACATGAAACATGTGTGAGTATAAAATATGTGCAATTATCCCGATGTAACGTAAAACCAATTTAACACGATTTAATAATTACTGTATTTTTCAACTACTATGGCAGAGTCCAATTTCCAATGAAAACATAAGCATTTATTTATAGAAGTGTGTACAAAAGTTTGCTCGTGTTTTTTTATGATCTTTTAATATTCTATATATGTAAGTATTGTTCCTAATAAATATAAAAATACATAACGTGAAAAATATTGATTGATGAAGTAGCTTTTAAAGTCAGTGACATAAAATACAGTGGCATTTATCGACCGTACCATAGTAGTTGACAATGATTTATTATTAATTATTTAGTATAATCACGAATTTTAATGTGTTACTCGCGAGTGATCTAAGTTAGAAATAAGTCATTATAGTGTGTATATATATATATATATATATATATATATATATATATATATATATTGTAATCAGGTACTACGTTGTTTGTATTGATGCGAAAAATAAAAATTCAAAGAAATATGAAAAATTAAATACATGAAATTGGAATAATACAATTATTTCATACATGTTACGCTTTTTTCATTATTTTGCTGAAATATATGCGTGCTGACATATATGCGTGCGTACAAATATGAATTATAATCGGCATTAAATGAAGCGCATTTAAGGACTAGTGATAGATATGCCGGAGCTTTGATAGCACGATTTACACGTAGGTACGGCACGTTGCGATAAATGCCCTGGTAATTTAGTATGTACCGCCATGCATCTTGTACATAGTACATCACCGCAGGACCAACAATGATGCTGAAACAAAGTAATCATTATATAATAAAAAAATTAATGGTTTTAAGTAGTTTTAATAGTTTATATATACTCGTTATGTAATACGTTATGTATACTTTTTTATTGAAGGCATCAAATGTCGTGGAACATCCACATTCTTCCATATTTCGTGACGATTTCCATTCTAAAGCGACCGTCTTCAATTCATTTTCCAATTGATTCGCTTTTATTTTAGTTTTCATTTTTTCATCGTGGCTCGTATTTTCTATTATAGTTTCTGATAGAGACTCTTTCATGAATTTATTGTCAAATTTATGTTTTCCCTTTTTATTTATATTTAAAAGTTGTCCCAAAGAATTGACTCGCTTGAATGAAAATAAAAATCAAAATAGAAATTAGAATATAATCGATGAATTTTGTTTTTAATGAATATTTAAAACATTTTAAAATACTGTTTATTTACTTATTTGACTAAATTGCGATATATACTTTTAGCAGAAGTTTTACATGGTCTTCTAAAGAACTGGTGTGATCGTATATCGTCAGAATTAAGTCTTCGCACGTTTCTCTAGGATGTATTCCGTTTTCAAATCTAAAGTACAAACTCCTCCAAAGACTAAAAAATAATACAATTTGAATTCAAGCCATATTAATTTCAAATATAAGATGTAAGAAAAAGCTATATATTTATTACATAATAGATTGAGGTGCCAACTTGGGTTGAAGGACATCAACAGAATCCTCGTTATTGTAACGATTGCATCTATAAATTGGGTTTATATACTCATTCATATTATTTGCCAAATAACCCCACAACGAATATGTTCGCTCGGATAATCTAAAATTATTATTCATCGTAATTTTTTCGTCTTTTATATCTCATTTGTTACAAAGAAAAAAATCGATATCAATATGTATAATACCTTAATATTTGCCTTTCTTTCTCCGAATTTCCAATAAACGTGCCATATTGACAACTATGTACATGATCGTGTAACGTTAAAAGAAAATATTCATTGAACTGAAATTTGTATGGATACTGCTGTAGTAATTGGTATGTTGCATCTATAAATTGTGTAAATATTGGTGCGAGTTCTTTACCATCGCTACTGACGTAGCCACAACGATCACTAAATTTGTGACCAAATGACAGCCAATCCTTTTCTATTAAAGCCTATAAAAAGCAGTTTTCTTTATTACATTTATAAAGTGGTATATTTAAGTTTAATTAAATAGCAGTTATAAACATAAAAAATTAAAGAAACGAATGTTGGATCACTTACTTGAAAGCCCTGAATGGTTCTGTAAAATGGATCTAACAGTAATGCAGCCAGAGAACACACTTGCGCAGTGCGATCCCATCCATCACTGCAATGCACGACGACGCTCACACCGTTCGAAACTGCTCGTGCGATGAACCAAGCAGTTTCCAGGATAGAGCGAATATGTTTTAACCAACCACTATTTTCTAGGCCGCTTAAGAATGCACTCATGGAAGTTGATCTTTGTACTAAGTTCAAAGATTAAAAAATTTAACAGTTACGTATCATGTACACAAATCCATAAAAATTTCATACTTACAATCCAAAAGTTTATTTAAACTTGTTCTCATTACATGAATATTCTCTATCCCGAAAAAATGAAATTTGATATTGTCATAGAAATTTTCATTTTCATATCCCTTTCCTGCAGCTCTGTTGGCAAAGGCATTAATCTAGACCAACAAAATTAAATTTTGGTTTTTGATGGTACCTTATATCCTTTAGGAATAACTATAAAATTTATTTCATAACTTATAGCATTTGTTATTATTGAAATAATTAAATATTGATTTGTTTCTAAAATCGATAAAATAAAATCTTTTCTAAAAAAAGATTTAAAGAAATCGTTTCCTGTTTTCAAGTTTAGAAAATAACGCAAGAAGATATAAAATGTATGGAAGAATAGAATTATTAAGTCTAATAATTATTCTAATAATTAAATCTAGTATTCAATTGGAAAATACAGAATTATATATTCTAATCATATAATGTATACTCACACGTGGTCTTGTATCAACAACATACATATATCTGGAATTAGGATTTGTGCATAATATATTATACATCATTTGCTCGTCTTCTGGACATCTCGCACTAAATCCCGAGAGTGGTTGACTGCAACGGCAAATAGCAGCCTAAAAGTTACATTTTATTTGAAAAAATTTCATTCAAATGCTATGTTTATCATTTTTCTCGGACCTTGTTTGAATGCAAGTACGTTAAAACTGGCAGTCTTCCTCTGCTTCTAAATTTTGCACTACCCAATAAAATATTGTTAGTAGATGTACTGGGAACATATAAGTACTTTGGATAAGTATCACAAAGCTGAAAGAATTGACATTTTAATTAATGACACTGAAAGATACAATGTGAATATAAAGGTAGATATTTACTTCATAATTAGTATTTAAATATGAAAGTGACCATTCTTCATTCGGGACACCTTGACGTTGAAATTCACTTTGTACATTAAAAAAATTCCACCCTGCATGCTGAGGCAGAGTATCTTCACTCTCTTGATAATTAAAACAATATAGATCTTCTAAACTGGCTGCATTAAAATAAAAAAAGTTATGAACATAATTCTTTAATTCATTAATAATTAAATTTTGTTCTATGTAGCTGTTAATTAAAAAGATTCTTAAATATTTATATGCAAAAATATAATTGTTTGTTACCTGGGCAAGATAATTTCAATAACGTGAGATAAATCTCATGGCAATCGCGTTCCTTCGGAATAACAAACGTGACAATGAAGAAATGCTTGCATTTTATATACAATGGTGATCCTGTAGTTGTCAGTGGCTGTTTTTCTATATTAGAGATATGCGTATATAGTACCTGCAATTATGACATTTTGTAGAAAACATTTCAGTTTGAACTTGACAATGGATAATTTCCATAAAAGATTGATGTAATTTTTACCCATATTTTTTTTTTGCCACTTCTTTCAACAAAGATAAGATGTGTCACTGTTAGATAAAGTGTTCCAATAGAATGATTATTGCTATATTTATCTAACATTCTCACGTTCTCTACCTGAAAAATTATACATACAAATAAAAGTAAGATGTTTTATGTAAATTTATCTTTTAGGTGGCTTAATACAAAAATATATCAATAAATAAATATGTTTTTTTTCGATATAATGCGATTGTATGTATAATATATGATGCATTGATTTGTTATAAATTAGAAAATATGATTAGATGTAAAGTCAATTAATAAATACCTTAGGGACCTTTATCTGCTCCATCTTTGTAGAAGCTTTAGAAAAATCGTATAATATTAAACAACTATAATTTATTTAGGCGATCGTAACGATTGATACTCGCGCACGTATCATTCGAGTATCATTCGAGTTTCGTGCGGCGGATTAGAAAATAATCATTTGTTCTAAGCGTACGTGAACTTTCGTCAGTTATCTAAAACTAAAATAGGCAAGGTTACATATACCATTCCCATCCCCTTTGAAAGTGACAGATGGTGACAGATCGCAAATATGGTGTGTGTGTGTGTATGTGTGGTGTGTGTGTGTGTGTGTGTTGTGTGTGTGTGTGTGTATTGTGTTGTGTATGTGTGGGTGGTGGCAGTGATATATGTACGACTCCATTGTTTATACAACATTTACAGGAGGAATTCCTTTTCTCGTAGAGTTTCGGAACGCAGGTCGATGAAATGATGAACCTTTTGGATGCATTTTGAAATGTTGGACTGGATTCAGAAACATGAATGTATCATTTTATTCTTCAAATGTTTATTCATCCAATGTTAAATAAGGATAAAATGATATCTGGGTGCACTCGAGTATTATTTCTGAACGCATTCCAGTTGTGAATAAAGATTGGTCGGTTCCGCAATTTTCAATTCTTCGAATTCTATAAATAGTACATACAATTTCTCTGTCGATTCTTTTGATACGCTGCCTATCGTCAAAATTCGATTTTCGCAATTTGTGAAATTTCGTTCTTCTTGGGAATAAGAAAAAAATCGATTATTTCTCACTACAGCCACGTTCCAAAACTCATCGAAAAATTCGTTATGTGGCGTGTATGGCGCAGATATAATATGGCGTGGCGTAAAAATTTCTTGCCATCGCCATGTTTCTTGCTCACCCAATGAGAATGAAAAAAAAGGATAGTTGTCAAAATTGCAGTGTTTATTGATTTAAGTAAATTTTATTATCATTTATATTATGGAGGTATTTATATTATGGAGTTAAATGTATGATACAATTTAAAGGATCTGATATTGAGATAAAATAGAGAAAACGAATATGGACGAAATGAATGTGATCTCGAAATTGATTTCCGGCACATATGAAGAATTCTGTAAAAATATTGTTGTGTTTTTAGAAGTTGTAAGTATGTCACATTATAAGATTACTCTTATCAAGAAATAAAATTTTTATTGAAATAGATTTACAGTATAAGATTTATAAACAATTTTCTTCATTACTCTATTTCTTTTTATTTGAAACTATTTGAACGATGTCAATACTGTACAATTATTGTTTTAGCACGAGAAGACGATTAATTTTGAAAAGTTGAATAGTAATTGTTTACGAGAGACGCTATGGAAAAAGTTATTTCATTACTTAACAGATTACACTCACGTAGATCAACATCATCATTGTTTAGCTGCTTTGAGGATACTTAGGTAATTTAATCATTATATTATTTATTTTGTATACCTCATGAGTTAATTTTGCAATTGTTCAATAATAAAAAATTGAAATAAATTTTACATTCTAGCCGTGATAAAACTAATTTGGACGAACTAATCACTGATGATGCAATAAAGACTATATTGCAAAATGCAGGCTTGACAAAAATATGTGAAGGAGAACAAATCTTATGTACTATTGGTAAGAATTATTAAGGAATGTGTAATTTTTTCATATAAATATAATTCTCAGAAAGAAATTTATTTAATAAAATCTAGTATAAAATGAAGTTAAAAATTTAATATAAAATGAAGAATTTTTGTTCTATGCTTTTCTTCTATAAATCAGGTATATTTTATATATGGATATAAATAAATATTATAATACATAAATGCTCTGATTGCAGTTACAATAGAATCATTGAAATTGCTGTGCAATTTATTATTTAATAGTGCAAAGGTACAACAGTCGGAAGTATTAATATCCTCATTACCTTATCTTATTGACCGAATTAAAAACTATACTGATGATACTCCCAATGATGTTAAATTATTTGATATTAGACTATTGTTTTTACTTACTGCACTAAATACTTCTACAAGAGATATAGTCAAAACTGAGTTGTGTGGTGACATATGTCTCATTCACATGATAGAGGAATTTGCGATACAAAATCAAAATAATGAGGTAAGCGTAACGAAGATAAAGAGATTGTATTATAATGTTTAGTATTCCATGTGTATATCTATATCTTAAATTTAAAAGCAAACTTTGTTGATACTTTTAGCTTGAGGAAATAAAAATAGTTTGCGAAGTTTTAAAAGTTCTCTTCAATTTGTATATACACTCGGATGATGGACTCGAGGATCAGGAAAAATATAAGAATTTAATGTTAACTTTATATAAATTGTTAACTCGTAAATACTCGACACAGCAAGATGAGCTTGAAAGGTAAAATATTCGTGATTTTATTGTGATTTTATCTCGTTAAAAGAAACGTTAAATTTATTATTTTATTTCAGCAATTATTTTATTATCTTATTTCAGCAATATCGTCAATTTGTTGACCGTAATACCATATAATTGTTATACACCAATTATACAACCTGTTGAGTGCAATGATTGCAAGAATGTATATCAAAACATGAATATGAGCGCTATATATGTTTTACTTCGATTTTTAGAGAAAAAGTTGGAATGTAAAGCACATTTAATAGAAAACTTTTCTCCGATAATTACTGCGCTAGTCAAACTCGTCAAGTCGGAAAGGCTTGTTCGCAAATACGTAAGGTTGCAGGTAAAAAAACCGTAATAACATTTTTTTTAAATAGTGTAAGCTATTTAGTAATGAAACAATTTTCTTGTGACAAATTCAATTCTAATTAAATAAAAGTAAAAAGAATATAATACGAATAATAAATTGTCCAAAAATAATAAGTAATTTTCATACATAACAAATGTTTTAGATTCTACCTCCATTAAAGGATGTCATGAATCGTCCTGAAGAAGGGACGACGTTAAGGGCCAAGTTATGCAAATTGTTAACATCACCTATCACAAAATTGCGGGATCTAGTTGCAGAATTTTTATTTGTCCTTTGTAAAGAAAATGGTATTGTTCTATTGTAATAAAAGATTTGAATTTTTTTTTATAGCATAATTATCCAGAACTAACGTTATTATTAATATATATATTAATTGCAGTTAGCCGTATGGTGAAGTATACAGGATATGGAAATGCAGCGGGAATGTTTGCCACAAAGGGATTGTTAGGATGTAAGCAAGAGAAAACGGCTTATTCCTCTGATTCGGAAGACAGCGAAACGGAAGAATACCAAAAATACAAGGATCAGTAAGTATTCTCGATGAGAAATTATATTAATATCTTCATGATAAAATGAGAAATCTTACAAGTAAATTATATTTTCTATATTTTAAGAATAAACCCAGTAACTGGATGTTTCGAGCATCCCAAACCAAATCCACTTGAGGGTATGACGGAGGAGCAAAAGGAATACGAAGCTTTAAAACTAGTGAATCTTGTCGATAAATTAACAAAGTGAGTAGTGTATATGGAGATTTTATTTACTCGTCACAGATCAAAGATATGTGCGTAAAGATACACAATCATATTGAGATCTAATGCTAAATAAAAGCTGTCGCGTTTGTATATATTTATAACATTATTATACAAAACAGCAATATATTATCAGCTGTAAACGCCACGATGATAATATATATTTTTCTACGTATAAAAAAATATATCGAGATAATATTATTTAGGGAGGGAGTCGTGCGTCCTTGCCGCATCGGCGATGATGGGAAACCAGAACCGATAGAGCACGTTCTCGAATTACAGAACGAATTGCCGAAACAGCAGTACAACAGGAAAGATTCTGACTCCGAATGAATACGTTGTATCATCTTCAAAATACAAAAACGTTCGTGTATACATATATATATATATATATATATTTCTTTAGATTCTTCCGAATAAAAATATTTAAATCGCAAAAAAATCTTTCTGTTATTAAGCCTGCACCAAGTAATCGCTTGTATTAGATAAATAGTACAATTGTTAAATTACATAAATATAGATATAAATATGAATATCGTATAAAATCGGGATTGAAGATCCAAATAGTTTCATATAAATGAAATCGCATCTGTGATGATTACACGAATAAAAAGAATTCGATATTTAGTTGATTACTTTATTGAAAAAGAACAAAGAACAACATTACAAATTAAACAATTGGCAGGAAATAAAAAATATATAACAGTTTCCAAAATCACATGAAATATTTAAACATTACAATTTTGGTAAAATGTGTTATGTGCTTTGTGAGCATCACAATATATTATTATTGCATTGCAGCCTATGCGCAGACAAGAATGTATATTTCTACACGTTTCAAATAACTGCGTAGTGATATTATCATTTGAGAATATCTTAGTATAGGACAGTACATATGAATTGACAGGTAATGGCAAATTGAGTTGATATGATGAAGCAATGTACGATCAACAAAGAACATTTATTTTTTTAAGGCTAAATCTGTCCATCCTATAATAAAATATTTTCAATATAATACATTTGACAAATATATAAGTAGCAAATATTTCGTATCTTTAATTATGTAATACAGTATGTAGATTAAAATATTTTTTTTTCTTTTTTGTAAAAGTGTATATAGATGTGTATACGTATAATACCATAAATTTGAATATTTTATATAAAAATGAAACTAAAATTTGGTACAAGATAGAAAAAAAGCTGATTTGCCGTAAATAAAAAGAAAAAAAAAATAATAATAATAGAAGAGAGTTAGATCTGTGTTACAGATATTTCGGGGACTAGTCTTGACAAACTTTGGAAGATTAAAAATCGTAAAACTTGTAAACTAAGAGAGATATATAGATTACATATTTGAAATACTTCGAAATTCAAGTAGTCCGACGATGGGGATAAGGGTTAGGTGTTTAATACAACAAAGGCTGAGTAGTCTCAAAGGGGAAACTGATTTGTGTGTACACAGTCGATTTCTGGACGTGTATAACTCTAAATAATACGTTACATTACAAGATGACCATGCTCCTTGGCATCCCATTAGCATATAAAAAATATATTGGTATACACGCATTCCATATTGCATTACAATTTACCTTTTTTTCGTCAGTTGTACTATCCTTATACAGTTTATATTTTGAAGTGTAAGTGATGTCGGAACATTTTTAAAATCTCTTTTTCCCTTTCTCTTTCTTTCTTTCTTTCTTTTTTTTCTCCCCATAGAAGTAGCTCGTTCTATGCAAAATACCAATGGAGGTCTCAGGAAAACATGGTTTACACGCAGTAATCCGCAGTATTGATTCAGGACAGTTGTTACAATATTTGTATGTGTACAACACAGGTTGAATCGTTGGAAAATTCATTTCGGAATATACATAGTATATTATTATTTAAATAGATGTTATTTAGATAGAGATGCGAGAGAAACGACACTAGAAACTAATTTTGCGTAGAGAAACGTGATAGAGCCAGGCTTAACTTTCGGTAAAGCAATCGCTCGATGTAGAGACAGTAGACACCTTATATTTCTCGCCTACGTGCGACGAGTGCCGCTTAGAACAGGTCTGTCTAAACTAGTAAGAAGCTTTTTACGGTCGCTCAAATGTCGCTTTACCGCAAAGACTTTCTCTGTCTCTCAGTTAGCCTCGCTAACGATCACTACTTAAAAGTAAGTGGAAACGTGGAGATCACCGAAACGGGTATATTTCGAGGGTATGCCACTCGACTCGAGATTTCACGCTCTTCGGCATACCGAGTTGGAATGCAACTTTTATGTAACGTGGTTTTTTTTTTTTTTTTCGTGGTCAATTTGATATGTAAACAAAGTACCTCCAAAAAGGAACGTGTGGTAATATCCAAAAATAAATATTACACGTGTATAGGGCGATGGCGAAAAAGCGTTTTCTTCACCCTTTCTTCTCAGCCTGTTAAGTATTACATCGAGTAAACTAACTGCAAAATAAATAAAGCTAGTGCTGTTGAGGAATGAAACCAAGTAACAGTATGTACGCCATTAACATGCCTTTCGCGTTACTTATTATCTAAAGATAGAATATATATATATATATATATATATATATATGTGTGTGTATATATATATATATATATATATGTGTATATATATTAATTATTTGTACTTTAACTGACTAAAGCAAGGATTTAATCGTAAATTTTTTGTCTTCTTAATTCTATAAAAACTTCGACACTCGCGCGCGAACGCGAACTTAAAAAGACGATAAAATAAACTTTAAGGTAAACAAATCGTAAGCATAATTATACATGTTATATAAATACTCTGATTAGTCTGTGTTTTGGCACTAAAGAATTAATTTTTCTATCCCGTAAGATGACTGATAAAATAATAGATTTGGAATGCAATTAAATCGTTAAGGTAGAATCAACATATCAATATTCATTACGAACTAATCACTTTTTTTCTGCCTTTTTTCGATGAGATGGATTGACAAGCTGTAGAATTCGTTGTCATCCCATCTCAAATTGAGTATTTAGAAACAAAAAAAAAATAATAATAATATTGGCAACAAAAACGTAAAAATTAAAGCAAAGACGATAAACGTGTGTTTGTGTGTATGTTCGTTTGTGTACGCGTGTGGGGAAAAAAAAAAAAACATAAATAAAATCAAACGAATTGTATAATAGAAACCGATCGATAAAGGTTTTCTTATCTTTTTTCGAATAAGATACAACTGTTGGTGAGAAATTTATAAAACCAATTAAACAAAACAATATATAAATAATACAAATACACATTTGGGAGCAATTCCGTTTTCGCACAGATTGCCCGAATAGAATAAAAACGTAATAGATTAAAACATGTATAGCAAGCTCGTACCACGTATTCCCCGGCACAATATCTGCCATAGGAAAATGATCTAATGTATCCAAATAAGTACGCTATAATAGCGTCTGAAACAGCCAATCGAACACATAATGCTTGCATAAAGGTAAAAATTAATGATATATATAAGACGATGTATACGAGCAAGGAATAAAATATTATTACAAAATAACGCGGAACGCTTACACATAATGAGCCTACCCTCCCCCCCCCCTCCCTCCCACCCCGCCCCTATTCTTTTTTGATCATAGATTTTTACCCTCTCTCTTTTTCTCTTTTGTATAAATACAAATTAAATTATGCTGAAGGCATGAAAAAGTAAAAATAAATCGCGGACTCTTATGTGTATAAGCCATGTCCAAGTAAAACGAGGTGGAGCTGTTAATTCAAAGCGCAATCCGCAAAGATAACTCTTTTTCGTTACGCTTCTTTTCATTTATAACCAGCTGTGTAGTGTTAATTGGCCATGCCCTAATCAATATAGCAAAGTCATACTCTTTTTTTTTTTTTCTTTAGGATTCTAGGAAGACTATGATTAACCGTAGGCTAGAATTCAGTTTATGTCGTGTCATGTTAGTCCTATTATTTATATAATTGTAACTGTCTCTTATGAACCGCAGTAATTCTTATTGTATAATATATGCGCGACTCTCCTCTCTCTCTTCTTTTTTTTCCCTTTTTCCCTCTTCTTTTGAAATCAGGAACATATTCGTGTGTGATATATAGCAATGATTCCTCATCTGATACACGACATATTATACGATTGACAAATATCATGTCTTACAATTCATTCGAATCGCGCTTACAATTGTCTTTCTCGTGTTGCCAAGTATCGTAAAATATAGTTTGTAAAACGGCACGTTTTTTGAAAGTAATTTTGCAGCGGGAAACAAACGTAATCGCGCACAAACTCCGATTTCTTAAATAAAAACACAAGTCTGACAATTCTACAATTATTCGAAGAAAAAAAAAAAAAAAAAAAGTAAATTGTAATTTAAGCTTCATGGCGAACGTAAGATGAAAAATTCAGCCGTAGTAATACACAAATATTGAAATAATTCTGTTTTACGAAATTATGTCGGAAAATGTGTGGCACCTAAAAGGCCTTGGAAGTTGTATAGCAATAAAAACAGTACTGTTAAAGTAATACACACAAAACTTATACCCCATGCTCAAAATACGATCTTCGATTACACTGCCAGTTGTAAAACTGTTTAGTGTTGATAATTATGAGAGCTTTTAATATTAGTTTAACAATGTAAGCGAAGTTTATCTATTACGTACAGAGTGACTATATAATTCTATACATATTAGGATAATAAGACTTTTGAGATTGTAAAAATCATCAAAAAATCTATCACAATTACCATTTACGTAACAAGTAATTCTCGTTCTTCTTTCTTTTATATATTATTGTTGTAATTCAAACATCAAGGCAAATAAGGGGTGAATTTCAACAGTGGCCTAAATTAGCCAAGTAGTCTTCCACAGAGATAAAAATATGTAAAGAGTAAATCTATACTAAAATATTCAAGTATATATAAGGTGAGCGTAATATAATAATTTTGTGAGGTAAAAGACCCTCTCGTTAATGGTCATCCATTCGTTACACTATGAGTTTTTTTTCTTTTAATATGACTGGCAAAAATTTTGCAACATGTTCTCTCTTTATTTTGAATATCTTCTTTTTATATTTAATGCATATCATTAGAGATGAATTGATGGCCCACACCGCATTCAGGCGTTATTGTGCTTGTAAAAACGCCTTGCAGGCGGCACCTCAACGATATCTCACATTGATACACTCTTCTAATCAATATTTACCTAGCAACAACATCAGAGACTCTTTAAGGACACAACTTATCCTGACGATACTATTATCACAGGCATTATTTAATATAACTCTGCTAACCATGACTATTAAATATTTCAGAATTAGTTTTCTTTTCTTTTTTTCTTTTTATATATAAAATTAAAACTTCTAACGTTATACGAGAGATGAGTTATACGATTGATTAGCTTAGGTGTATGTATGTAGGCTTCGTGCAATTACTACAAATGCCGATGTTATGCGCGAACTTTAAAATAGCCTCCTAGTACTGTCCTTTTTTGTATTTCTCGTTCGTTTATACTTTTTCATTTGCTTCACACGAGTAATAAAATCAGATATTATCGATATAATTTCCTGTATGCAAACGAATTTGATAAAGCTAGTCAAGTATAAATATATATGTATATATATGTATATGTATGTATATATATATATATGTATATATATGTATATATATATATACATATATATGTGTATATATATATATATATATATGTGTATATGTATATATATATATATGGATGTGCTACCTAGCATTTGGTATGGCAAGATAGTATTTGTAATTAAACGTTATTGTAGATAATGTAAGGTAACACAGTATAGCAATCTGCCAAATATCCGATGTATATATTGTATACACATTGCATTTTAGTTCAATCAAATCTTAAGGCTGATCATGTAAACAACCCTAAAAAATATGTGTATTTCTATATATGTATGTGTCTCATGTGATGGATCATGTTAATATATACATAAATAGAGGTTGTTTAGCAAACTGTACGTTATTTTCTTTTTTTTTTTTACATAGATAAAGTATCGTCTCTATGATATACCGGTGGTATATATTATGTACTTACGAATCTTATATAATATATTACACAAAATCGTTCCCCTGCATTGTAAAAAATGCGCGGGAACGATTTCTGTAATTTTATAACAAATACATTTACATGGTATGGATACATTATTCACTAGCACCACGAACCAATAATTCACACACGCATATATATCATATTCATATGGTGGACCATAATAAAGCATCCTGAGTAAATATTGTAACCATTATGTGTCTCGTCTAATTTTAACAATGCACAAATGGGATCTACTCGTTTGTCTCACAAGTGTAAATAATTATTTCATTTTTTTTTACGCTCAAAGTATCTTTTCTGTACGACACTTTTTATATAAGATATTAAATGTTTGATTTTCAACATACCATAATCTATTCCTTGCACATTAACGTTGTTTTTATATTATGTTCTCAACTATCATTTTCAAACGCGCAGAAAGAAATCAGGAACATAGCTCTTGTTAAGCTTCGTGCCTGCTGCAATGAGGAGTATTGTTTTCATTTTCTTCTTTAGAAATATACGATATGATAAGAGCAGGAAGTACTATCAACTACCTCGCAGCATGCAACATTCTTTTTTTCGTTTTTCTGTTAAGCGAAAAATTTTGATCCTCTCGTCGTGAAATTTATCCTGCTGAATTTATTAATTATTTAGAAGCTCTTAAAGGAAAACTTTTTTTAAACATAATCTGTGCATTTATATGCATCTTGAAGCATCAGTTAGGACTAAGAAGACAAACATCCTTGATTAATAAAAAATCAGGACGAGAACGTCTTGTTCCGAGCACGAATCGAAACCAGAGCGCGTAGAAAGTGCTCGATGGAGACTAGAATAATTTGATTTATAAATATACTTAAAATACTGACATGTCAAAAATGATGTATAACAACCAATTTTGACGGAAGGCCATTATAAATTGCTTTCTCTACTACAAGCGATCCAACTGACTAGTTGGTTGCTTACTGGTTGATATAGCTTACTGCTTTTTCTCTTTCTCTCTTTATAACTGGTTCCACTTAGTTAATTTAATTTACTTTGGCAGTTTACCAAAATGCAAATTGCTAAGTTACTATTATACTGCTTGGTCGGAGACGTACATTACCTTTCTGCTTTTTTTTGTTTTCAACATTGTTACTTTCATAAAACGGGGACGCATTATATTTTTATAACTATTAAAGCTGCATGCTGCACTTGTTTCTATTGCTTCAATAGGCCCAAAATTCGAACGTAATGCTTTGGGCATGCCTTTCCCATCTTTCGTTGAGAGCAGTTTCCAAAGAAGTTTCCACTTGTAGGAGGAAGTTATAATATACTTACTTGTCTGATGTCACTTCACAGTATATAAAGAGTGTTTAATACAAGGACATGGTGGTTGTTTTTGGCCAGTGTTACAATATATCCTTCCGAAGTTATTTTCAAGCCACAACATCGAGACACCTATAAAATATTGATTTTTAAAGATCATAAAAATCGCCGACAAATACATATATCGGAAAAACAATTTAACAAAAATGTTAATAAAAAAATTATTTAAACTTTCTTTCAGACCAGTACAACAATTTATTATTACTGGTAATGAGATTAAAAATTACACATACAAAAATTAAAAAAAATAATATATTTAAGATTTAAATAGAAAGTAGTGCCTACTATACCTTTACATATGGGCATTCAAATTCTGATATTAAAGAGCCAGCTCTGGAAAAGACAGCTACATGGAAACGATTACCATGTGAATCTCCAATTAATACATCTCCTGCATCGCTAATATCAATCCCGTTCGGGAAGTTTGTTACATTCTCACAGCCAATGCGACGCAGGAATTTACCTTCTTCGTTGAACACGACAACACAATGTCCTTTGAAGTCGCAAACAAAATATTCTTTGCCTAAAAGTTTATATACAATTTGTTTAAAATATTATAAAATTTATGTTTTGTACTTGAATTATAATATAAATTTATAAAATTGTATAGTAAATAAATTTTAAATTGTTTTCTGGGATAATAAACGAATAGATATATTTCATTAATGTATATTATATACATTAATAAATGTAAATTAATTGAATGTTATTATCAAACGAAAAGAACATACGAAAAGATCTACTCACCACTGATAGCAATATCACTTGGTTCTCTCATATAGTCACTGCAATCAAACCACCTCAAAAGATCTCCTGTATCACTGATTACGAACACAGTTGGCGACACACTGTCAACAGCCACAATATGACCTTGGCTGGTAACAGCTAGGCCAGCTACAATATCGATGTAACGAATAGCAATCTTCTTTATAAAGTGGCCATTCTTTGTAAATATCTGCATTCGAGATCGCTCATTACCACGATCACATACAACAAATTTGCCATTATTTCTCATAACAGCTACTTTCCTGGGATACCATAATTGCCCCTCTTCTTTACCAGGAACACCAAATTGAAATTTGAAGGTACCAGTCTTATCAAAAATCTAGAATTAATAAGATTTATATAAAATTTGCAGTTTATAAAAGCATCTACAGTAAAATATTTATTGCCAACACGTCAATGTAAAACAATTACCTGAATTCTATGATTGTTTGTGTCCGCAACAATAATATCTTCGTCAGTCCCCAGGCAGAATCCATGAGGCGAATTAAATTGCCCTTTACTGGGTCCTAATTGTCCAAATTTACTTCGGATATGCATAGGCGTCAATTTTGTATTCTGAGTTCTTGGATGAGTAGGATAATTCCCTGTTCCTGATCCGGCTACATGATTGGCAACAGTATTTCCTACTACTACAGGCATATTATGCATAGAATCACCTATTAAGTCATCTAAAAATAAAATACCAATATTGGTAAACGCATACAACTCTCTATATATATATATATAAAATATTGATAAAACTATTTCCTCTTAAATCTTTTGTTTAAGCATGATTATGCAAAACATATTGCATTATGCATAAAATAATTAAAATTTTTTTTCCCGAGTAAAATTTTTGTCAATATACACAAAACTCTTACCAGCACCCTGTGAAAGTATCGGCGAAGTGGAAGAGGACAATGATTGAAATCCTCCATTTAATAAACTGTTGGCAGCCAAAGGACCCAAGTTTGGGGTATCCACAATAGCTGGTGAAGGTCCACGTCCCAATACTAGTCCACCACTACCATTAATAGTAGTACTTCCAAGATCTGTATTGAAATAATAGATGCATTATAACAGCAGACACAAAGAATGTTAAATAATGATAGATGTATAAATAATGATAGATATAAATTCAATTTTTCAAAATATCCTAATAATTCTCAATACACAATATATACACATAATATATACACACATATTCTCTCTCTCTCTC